ATTTTACTTTAGTTTCCAACAAACCATAAAGACATTATTTTTCCTGTGTTAGTAATGCCAATTAAAACTCACCAAAATCATACATCTTGGGTGACTGGGAAAAGATGTTATACTAGTAAGCTATAAGGTGGATGAAAAAGTTTTTAAAACATCTATAACAGCTTTGTTCACTTCATTGTTCTCCCTGGGGAATCAACAACAACAAAACTATTTTGAAAACTTTTTTTTAGCTGAGACAAGTATAGAAGTGAACTCTTATTTCTCTATTTCTGTTTGAAAATAGTATTTTTCATTCAAAATATTCACAGTATTTGTAATAGGTTATAACACAGTGAAGCTTCTTAAAGTTATCTCCCAAATTCAAAAACACTTGAATATTATGCCTGGAAAAACACTCAGGTACAAAGCCGTTGATTTTTTTTGATATGATTTAATTTGATTTAGGAGCATAGTAGAACTTTCAGGTTCATCAGAAATATGTAAATGCCATCAGGGCCAATAAATCCAGAGCTATAATTTTCCTTATGAAATAAAAATCTCCAAGTGATGAAGCTTTTGATAATTTATTTCTTACCAAATTAGTAGCAAGGAATAGTAGGGAATTGACCCTACTATTCTCCCAAGGTTAATCCAAAGGAGAAAGAACTTTGTATGGTATATGATAACATTTCTGTTATATATGTATATAATATGGTATATAATAAGCACTTATTTTTCAGCATTTCATGGACTTCTAACAACCCTATGAGCAAGGTATTACTGCCATCATCATTTTACAGAGGAGAAAATGGAGGCAATAAATGAAAAAACCAGACTGAGCCCCAAGTGCACTGGCTCCAGAGCTCATGTTCTTCATGGTAAATGGAATAGTGCCCATTTGGGTAAACACACTGGCTCACACATGCCTATTAACAGACTTCAACTGTGAGGTTTCTGCTGGCTCAAAAGGACCTCAGGCAATGCCAGATTTGTTTGCATGCTGTCATAATAATTGGTTGTATCCGTTGTTTCCTTTCTGAGACACTGAGAAAGTTCTGATTGATCCCTAAATATACTTCTGCTCTAGTGTGAAGATATAATGCACCATTACATAAATTTATTTGACCACAGATGGGACACCTTTAGTCCTAATCTTGCAAGATTGCTAGCCCATGGAACAAATGTTGAGAAATACTGAAATAAGGGTCAAATCATGTCATAGCCTATTTTGTAGTTTAAGAAGACAAAATACTCAGTAGGCAGAATCTGAATTTCTTGTGGTGAGCTGCATTCCTTCTGATGGCCAGCTCCCAATTAGTCCCATTGTGAATCTCTCCAAACAACACACAAAGTTTCAGTGGAGTGCCAGAGAATGGTTAATTAATCCATTAGTTCTTTTTTTTTTTTTAAGATTCTATTTATTTATTTGACAGATAGAGATCACAAGTAGGCAGAAAGGCAGGCAGGGTGTGGGGGAGCAGGCTCCCCACTGTGCAGAAAGCCCGATGTGGGGCTCGATCCCAGGACCCTGGGTTCATGACCTGAGCCAAAGTCAGAGACTTAACCCACTGAGCCACCCGGGGGCTCCTAATCCGCTAGTTCTTAACTCTTTTAGTGTAGAAACATTTAGAACAGAACTGTCCAATCAAGACATCACTTTAAACAATCTCGAACTAAGAAAACCTTCAAAAAGGAGAATGGGAAGAGGAAGGAAAAGGAAGCAAACCATAAGAGACTCTTAATTATAGAGAACAAAATGAGGGTTGATGGAAGAGAGGTAGGCAGGGGATAGTCTAAGTGGGTGTTGGGTATTAAGGAGGGCACTTGTAATGAGCACTGATGTTATATATGAGTGATGAATCACTAAATTTTACTCATGAAACCACTATTATACTATATCTTATTAACTAACTAGTATTTAAACAAAAACTTGAAACAAACAAAAAAGAAAACCTTTGGGGGGAAAAAAAATAGGCATGCATTTACCAGCCAGTCAGGTTTGTTGACCTGACACCAGACATAATTACTCCATTGGGGGTGAAGTGAGTCTTCATACACATCAAGGAGTTCCATGGTCCAAACAATGTCCCTCTCAGCCTTCTTTCTTTCCCTTTTTTTACTTCCTCTCAGGTACTCTACTTGTACCGAGGGAAAACATTAAGTTTATGTTCCCTTTTTGACTGTCCTCACTTATGATTGTCATCCAAGAAGGGCTCCCCAAAACCCTAAAGTTAACTTTTTTTCATCCTCCACTATCAACATCTTTCTATTCTTCACTGCTACTAACCACACTCTACAAATATTCACTTGAATTTAATAAATTCATATAGATGCAACAAATTTTTCATAACTATATGATCATAGAACTCTGTGTACAATGCCTACTGATATTTCTCTAACTCATGCTCAGCAAATACATTATGGGAATAGTGACTTAAACAAAGGAATGAAACCAGGAATCCAACCAGGAAAGAGAAGAGCTTTCTCAGAAACCAGGAATGATTCATGGCTCATCTTGCCTCACCCAGATAAAGAATTATATGAACCCCAACTCTCATCCAGGTAATATAGTCAAGGAAAGGAAGATGTTTTGGGGTAGGAATGCAGTGGAGTTCCTCAACAAAATCATTACAGCTATTGGCAACTCCCTACCCCAGCTGTATACATAGACCATCCTATTTTGAAAATGGTATTTAAAAAAGAAAAAGTTGGGAAAAAGTGAGGGAAAAAGTTACCCAGAAGCATATCTACAAAGAAATAAAACTCATTTTCACTGTACTCTGAGGCAAGTTGCTGTATTGAGGTAATTATCTATGTAGTCCCCAGGCTAAGAATTAACATGTTTTTTTACCTCTTTCTGTAGCAACCTGTTCAAGTCAATTCACTCCCTGGAAGTAATTGTTATATTTATGATTTTATTCTATCTCCAGACATTAGGACAACTCTAACACTCAGAAACTTTTTGGAAGACCCTCAGCCCTCAAGCTACTATGACCTAGAAATAAGAAGCTAGTTTGTTGCCCTACATTGTAAGTGGACAATGGAACTCTTACAGATCAGCCAAATTTTCCTTATCGCTGTCCTGGAATAAGCTGGCAACTATATTACACTAATTCATAGCACTTGGCAATTTTAATGCTCCCAAAATATTAATCATTAAGATTTTTCATTTAATATTGCCAGAAAGACTTTCATACAAACAAATCCCTAGCAGCCAATAAATGCTGAATTAGAATTCAACTTCCTTTTCTATACCAGGCTGAGTGACAACCTCATATTCTCTAGAATATAAAATATTCCAGGTTGCAAAAATTAAAGTTTAAAAAGAAATAATCCAGAGAAAATATGTATAAACACTCAAATGAGTATTTGGCTGACTGAGGCCCTTAATAAAAGCAAGGGAAAGAGAAATCCTAATAAAGGGAGTGAATTTATTCTTTTTTTAAATAATCCTGCCTCTTTTTTTCCCCCAGATGGGAATAAAAATGAAAAAGAAAGCAGCCAGAAAAAAAAATAGTAATAATAATAACTCTTCCAATTGATCGTATAATTAGGTCACTAAAAACCATGAATCCAAGCCATATCTCTAAAGATTTTATATTTTACTGGTTCTAGGAAAGATCCAAGAGTATATCTAAGCTGATCATTTCATAAAGTTAGCTTTGCTTTTTTGCCCTTTTGAACCTGTGTTGGCCAAGGCTAAAAGATTCTACTGGAACTCTAGGGACTATTTTTGGGAGCAGATGTTTTAAGATGTCCTGACTCTGCACTTTAAGTAATTCTGCGGTGGCTTTTCACTTTTCCCAATCTCAATGTGACTTAACCTCTCTCAATCTCAATTTTCTCATCTTTAAAATGGGAATCATTATAGTACCCACTACATTAAGCTGCTATGGGAATTAGATGAGATAATGTATGAAAGTGCTTATAAGAGCGCTTAACACACATCTCTTCGATATATGGCAGCTATTATGATCTTTTCTGATACTGGTTATAATTTAGCAGGCCCTGCTACTGCACTTTGAATTGGTATAATAAGTCGGGGGATTACATCTCTGGAAAGCAAAGTACATTAAATGCTTCACAAGAAAGTTGTAGATTTACAACTCATCCAATGGCAAACAACAACCCTGCTTGCTTTGGAGTCACTGGGAGCTTCCAGGCAGCCAGGACCTAAAGCCTGCATTGTAAAGAGAAGAGGCTGCACTCCCACCATCTGTGAGCACCGCTTAGGCTTGGGCATTTGAACTAGGCCTTGAATACTGTCAACATCCCAACCGGCAAGATGTGTGCCTGGGACACTACACATATGGTGGTCAAATTTCAGCTCTATGAGTTAGAGGATTGTCATACTAGAGAGATAGAAGTCTCTTTATACCAGATACCCATTATGGGATGATAACATCTCCTAAAAATGAAATGGAAAGCCAATACAATAGTATAAAACATAAGAGTATAGGAAATGCTGAAATTTCATGAGGGAGTTTGTGAGGTCACCCGGCAAAATTTGAAGGTTTTCCTGTAATGGAAATTTTGAGGATAAACCTTCATGAATTATCATAGCATAGACATCTGCAGTGACAGGCATTTCTCTTAGCCTTATATGAAAATGGATAGCCCAAAGACAGCACAATTTTGTTTGGATGAATTAAAAAAATAACTATGTTTACTTAAGAAAGAAAAATAAGGACAACTGATAAGTTGCTTGTGCATTGGGTCACTAAACAGCCAATAATCAGAAATAGGAATTTCTAAGAAATCATGAGCAGTATAAAGGAACACAATCATTCTTGAAGACAGGACACTTCATCTAATTGACACTGGTGAACTTCAAAGTTCACATGAAATGTTCAGGGAAGATAACAACCATTTTGGTGGAAGGTTTTTTATTTATATGAAAAAATTACATTTCCAAAAGCTCAAAACCCACTATTTTAGTTATTTAAAATTTCTTTAAATGCACACAAAAACATACCTGTACAAACACACACACATTTGAGTCAGACAGAGAGGCCACTTACTGTCATTTCATTCATACTGAGAAGCATGGGGCTAGGTGGCAGGGTCCCAAGACGGTACTTGAAACCTTCTTCCAGAGTCATTCCCCAGAACTGGCTATAGTTCTGGGCTGTCCATCTGCCTTACAAATGAAAGAGAAAAATTGGTACACATTATGCAATATCACTTTTATAAATAATGTCTGTTTATATTTCTGAAGTTATACAAAATTAGAATTACTATCAGATAGATATTCTTTATATAAAGAATGTATGATTATTTAACAGGAAAGCCTATGAGCCACTCTTCCTAAATTAGGTCTCTTCCAATTATTTTAATGACTTATATGAGGAACCTAAGGCTATATCAATATAGACTAAATATAAGAATATGGAATCTTTACATATTATAAGGGATTAAATGGCAAAAGGCTAATCTGTGTAATCTTTTAAATGTCATTAAATGCATTTTAGAAAGAAGCTTGAATGTATAGAAATGCACTTATAGATAAATAGGGTAATTGTTTTATGTATAATTTAGATCTGAAAAGAACTTGACCATGTAAAAGGAAGTATCTGTGAAAAACTGGGGATAAAATAGTTATACTTAAGAAGATTACATCAGTGCTAATTAATTGTACTGAATTAATTTATTTAAATACTGGAATATTCTATCATATATTAAAGAGTTAATTTGTGTTAAGTGCTCAATAATCTCAGTTATTATTAGTGATGATACAAATTCAATTAATGTGAAATTAGATACTTAAAAGCACATATTTTTTAGAGACAGGGTTTGTGGCCCTACATAGGAAAAGGAGCTTTGTTTTCTAACACTGACATTTAAATCCAACAAAAAATTTCTGAAGGGATGAGAGTAGATGAGAAAGATGAAAGTACTTTAATCATCACTTGTTTGAATTATTTACAACTTGAGAACAATATATTTTCAGTACTTAAGTCAAATCTAAACTTAATCCTGTTAGTTAATTACCAAAATTGCTTATATTGTGATAGACTTTCATGAATGCTTGAAGATACGTTTGATTTTCAATAATATGACTAGCAAATTCACGCTTTTCTAAGAATCTGTTAGATTACAAAATCCTAAGCAACTTGGAGCCACAATTTTAAGAGTATAATCTCCATCACCAAAGGAAAATGCTGACTTTGTTAAATTTTGCAGGATTTATAAGAGACCATCAGGACCAGCCTTAGGCAAAGCCATGACATCAAGGAAGTATGTTTTTCGTGCTCTACCCTAGCAGTTTTCAAACATTCAGATACATTTGTGGTCATTTAATCACTTAATTTAGTGAGCAAGGAATCAGTATTTTAAAAATAAATAGAATACAGGAGAGATAATAGGAAATATTAGAACTTATTGCACATAGTGAGGGTGAGTACTGTTTTTATACGTGTCAGGGTGTGTGTGTGTATAGCACATATTTGTACGGATATTCATGTGCGTGTGTGTGTGTGTGTGTGTGTCTGTGTGTATACACTAAATCATAAAGTTAGATGCATGTTTTACGGTGACTTATGCTTAAAAAAATTATGAAGGGACTACCACTCTATACCATCCTCTTTGATCAAGACTCATAACTTTCCCTTTAATCCAATTTAGCATTTACTGGACATTCTTCATTTATCATATTCTCTCTTTAAACATAAGAATAAGTAAATTTCTCTACCCACACGGAGCTCATACCCTAAAAATACTGCAAAGCTAGATATGACTTCAATGTGCATCATTTATTAGCAGTAGGTTAAGGTATGGTCAGAGTAGAGGTTTCAAATGTAACTCTGCCTGAAGGGGTTGGCATAATTTCATTACAGAAAGTGACTTTAGTGCTCAGTCTGGAAGGATGAGAATAAGGTTGGTGGACAGATGTGAAAAAAAAGGACATTTATTCTTTAAAAAAAAAAAAGAAAAAAAGGCAACTCAGGAGTAGAGCATATGGGTTTGAAGCTGGGTAGCATGTTTAAGAATGAGCAGGTAAGTTCAATGCCAAACCCATGAGAGACCAAGGGAAGCTGGAAAGAACATAAAAAAATGAGGTAGTAAAGAAGCATTTGGGCCAGACTGTTTCTTATGCTAAGGAATATAATGATATTCTACAAGTAACGGAGTATCACTGAAGATTTTTAAGACCATGAACAGCAGAGTCAAAGCTTGGATTTAGAGTGATAACCATAAAGAATTGGTTGCAGTTTGGTCAGACTGGAAACAGGGAGAAAGATCAGGTCATCTCAAATGAGGCTTGATAAAGAAATGCACTAGAATGTAACAGAGAGGTAGAAAAAATAAATATCTGAAAGAAACTATGGTGTGGGAATTATGAGACTAGTGGCTGAGAAAGAAGAAGAGAGAAGAATCAAATTAATTTCCAATTTCCTGGCTTGCCTGACAAGGCAGAGGTGAAGGCCAGTCACCAAGGGCAGGTCAAAGAGGTTAACACTTTTGGTTTGGGTTATGTTGATTTGAGAAACCTGTGAAAACATCAAGGCGAACTTATCCAACAGACTAGGTTTTGAGTTCATTAAAAAAAAAAAGAAAAATCAAGTTTAGAGATGTGACAGATTAAAAATGGCCACAAATTATCTGTGGCTCTTAGCACCAAGAAGTGGAATCTATTTCCCCAACCATTGAAAGTGGGCAGGGCTAGTCACTTGCTTCACTCAACAAAAGGTAGGAGAATTGATGCTGTGTATCTTTCGAGCTTAGGCCTACAGGGAAGCCCTTTGCAGCCCTCCCTCATGCCATCTTAGAACACTCGTACTATGTGAGGGGCTAAGGCAGTCTGCTGGAGACACGTGAGCCCACCAACAACCAGCACCAACTACCAGGCATCTGAATGAGGCCACTTTAGACAATTCAAGCCCATTTGAGTCTCCAGATATCTGTAGACATCTGAGGAACCCCAAGAAAGATCAGGAAAAGAGCTTCAGGTAAGTCAATGTCAAGGTACTAAAGTAAACAAATGAAAGGCTTATGGTTTTAAGCTGTTAAATTCAGGTGTGGTTTACTGCCCCGCACAGTTCTCTATCTCCCTTTGTTCCACTAACTTGCTGATTATTACTTGCTACTAATTTGGCACTTACATATTGCCCTATCATAAAAAATCCTTTTACAAAGGGATGACATGTTGACTGCTCAGCTAGATTGGAAATTCTTGTAAGACAGAAATTATTTATTTCTATCCTCAGCAGTGCCACCAAAGAAACACGGTTTCGTTAATATTTATTGGTTGCACTGAAAAATAACACAGGGAATAAATATGCACTGAATTAACTTATATAGAATGAAGGAAGATTTGGATCCAAAATGCCACCAAGATGAGATAAATGAATGTTTTAAGCAAAGATTGTGTATATTTGCATGTAGGCTATTTTAAAAAGCACTCAGTAAGTATTGAATGGTATGTTCTATTTTCACACATGAAAACAATTTGAACATCAGGACCAGAATATATCTGAGAGTCAGAACTTTCTTTTAAATTCAAGGACTCCCCCTGCCTTTTTGTCCTCTGGTAAATAATTTTAGTTTTACTGTTTCTTCACAGCTTGTCTCTCTTCCTTAACTTTTTTTCTTTGGGCATTGGGTGTTTCCTTTTGCTCCAATTATCCCTCACTTTCTGTCCTTTTAAGGTCATCAATGTTTGCTACAAAAGGCAAAGCCTGTGCCTCTTAACTCATTGCAGAGTTATCTCACAGTGAACAAATGATGGCAAGAAAATTCTTCTTTCCAAAGAAGACAGCATTCCCACCAGCTTGTGTGTTCTTATGTGTTTTTTCCACATTGCCTTCAACTATGGTTTCCCACAGGTTCTGGGACAGTGGAAAAGTAGACTGCTGAGAGCTTCTTGGAAGTATGTGCTCCATGGGTCAAGTATTTGAATTATTTTAAGAACCTGATTCAGATAATTTCTTATGATGACACATACTCTGATGTCCTTTTCATTATTTGAGTATCACTTAGTCACAGAAAATTATGATGTATTTTCCCTAGAAATACTTAAAATGTCATATTATCAACTACAATATTGGGTAAACATGTATACACATACACAGGAATTGAGCATGCTTGAAGAATATTAATGTCAAAAAAAAAAATGTAACTTTCTAAATTTCCTGTCTTCCAAGAAAATACTTTGGGGACAGGGGCTGTGCTAGGAAATCTAGGAAATATCTGTTTTATGGTCTTCTATGTGAAAGCAATGGATACTTTTAATTTTTAAAAATATATTTCAGGATTACATCACTTTTATAATTACTTGATAATAGATCTTCTTACATTTTCCAGAATGTGGAAAATGTTTCTGAGGGTATCTAGAGATTTGGTCAATGGCAAAGGAGCAATCCTGAGGCAGATAACCAGGTAGGCCATCCCTCTTCCTTTCAGTTCAGTAAAGAAAATCCATGTTAGTACTGATATCATTATTCCCTCTTTGTAATTGGAGAAGCCACCTAATTTATTAATCTGTCAGAGAGCATTAAACCATTATTTGCCATGTTTAAGTGTCAATCAGCCCTATATTTAGCTTATAAGCAAAGTAAAGTGGCTCACCCTATCTTTCCATTCAACTCTAAGTGAAACTGGCTACATAGGTCATGTCAGTGAAATTGTCTAGATGGACTGGCTATTTGGGGAATCATCAAGATTAAATACTGACCTCTTAGGGTCTGATTCTCCTGTGACAGCTGATCGGCTGGGTCAGGGCAACACCAGAGGGAGAAAGATGGTTTATTTGAAAAAATCAATTTTGCCTACTTTTTAATCTTGTCTAAATATTTATCCAAACTAACACTCCCTCTATTCCCCTCTTTCACCCCATGACAATGCTCCTTCCTAGTAATTTTAAGACCCCATCTACATTTCTTTGTGCATTTTAATTTTAATCATTTAATATTTACTTCCATGCATTCCTATTTCACATGTCTTTCTACTTCTCTTCCCATTTCTCTCCCATTTTTTCTTTTGAATAATGGCCATTTTTAGAAGTAAATGTTAGGAAATAGATTGAAGCCTGAAAAGTAACTGGGGCTGCCAAAAAAGTCTGTAAAGCAAGATTTTGCTCACCCATAGTCTCCATTATTGACACGTTCAATCAGTTCTGGTTGAACAAGGCAGACAAACTGGGAACATTTCCATTGCTGTCCTGAGCATGTGCTGCAAAGATGTAAAAAATTACAAAAGTGGCCTAGCCTTTACGAAGTAGATGTACAGAATTAGTAACCAGAATTGCACACTGTTAAGGTGTAAAACATATCTTTGATTAATGATAGCCATAAGCCTATTTGATTCTTGGCAAAAATAAAATAATAGCATATGCATTAGCTATCACTCAATATGCTCTTAACTTCTCCTCCAGGCAATTAATAAGTGAAATGACCACACAGCCACTGACATTTGAAAACATAAGAAAATTTAGACAGTAGAATCTTTGTATTTGTATTTGGAAACTTTCTGCAGGATAATCATTTGAAAGCAGCCTGCTTTTATCTATAGCTACTGTGATCAAAGAAATACAGTTTGCCTGTAGTATATCTTGCCTGTAGAATGCTTTAATTAAGAGGTATAGTTCATGCAGGCCTGCTGTATGATGAAGGTCACTGTCATGAACAAGCTCTAGCATTGAAAGATATATCTAAGATTAGATTTGTCAACATTCATTAAATATGCTTATATAAAGCTACAGGTATGCAATATCCTAGGACTTATGATTCTGTCTGTATTTATCATCTTATTTCACAATACTCCTTTTATTTGAAGAAAACATATACAGACAGTAGAATTCAGTTCTGTGCCACTTAAATTCATTACCAGGAGTTGCAGTTTTCTTTAACTACTGATCCTTCTTCATAAAGTTGGCCATTTCTGAGGCAACCTGTCAACACAACATTTGAACAAATGAAAATTCTAAATTGAACGATAAAGTGCATCAACATTCACAAGAAACCTACAATTCTGTTTCGTTTCTCAAATATGCAAAACTGTTTGGTGCCACTCTGATGAAAATCCACATCTGGCTTGTGTCGAGGTTTATGTACAGGATTTTTCTAAGCTTGTTTCATGAGCTATTATCTTTAAAATTGCATATTATGTTCCAACAGAGGATTTGTAAAGCATGAAAACTTGATTACCACAGAATTAATCACTAACCACACTCAAAAAATAATTTATGTGTTTAAATAGGTGAGAAATAAGACAATGTTTGGATAAATTTATAGCTTTTCTCATTTAAAAAATCTAATCAAGTCTCATAAGTAAATATGATTCATTGTATATGACAGGAGTAAAGAACTCAAAGTTTTGGACCAAAATGTGAAGCTCATTGAATTTACCTTTTAAAGATAAATTCTATTTTTTCTTAAGAATTTGGATCAGAAGAAAAATTCATGAAACCAGTAAGATAGTAACCATTTGTGTTCTAAATCCAAATGTTTCTCAATGAACTGAAACTGGCTGTTAACTAATTTACCTGATTATATAAACTACTTAAAAGGGACTAACAGTGTATTATCATTATATGAAAACCATCAATAAGATATGGTGAAAATATTACCCTGGTTACAAAGGAAATCCTTTTCAAAAATATAATTCACACAGATTTGAAATCCACTCTGACTTAACAAAGGTAGTAAAATTTACTACTTTGTCATGTGAAAACAGAAATATGTAATTGATAGATCACATCAGTGGTGTCTAATAAAACAAAACAAATCCTAACTTTTTATTCATATGATCAGAGGGAAAAATCTACATGTTTAGAGATCATTCCAAGGGACTTGGTTTAACTTCTAGCCACAATATCACAAAAGCCACTTAGGGAATTTGCTCTCCTCTGATTTTTCAAATAATGGTTTCATTGAAAACTTCACAACCACCACTCTGCAGCATATAGTTTTTATAGTTCAATATGTTGCTTAATGAATATAAAATCTCTACAAATTTGCATCTATTTACCTCTTTCCCAAGGTTTTTGAACATTCCACAACCATGGGAAGAGAAGCAAAAACTGCCTTTCTCCTGGACCACAGGCTTCTGGACATGGTGAACTCAGGGAAGGGGAAAGATTTAACTTTAGAACAAGTCTGGAGTTTTAACTACTATTCAGTATTAGAGACTTGAAATAAATGAACTTCTACTATAGAACTTAAAGAAACCCTCAAACTTTTATTACCTAGGGGTGACAGAAAATTCATGCAACAACTCAAGGTTTCAAAGTCAAAGAAAGTACTTTCTGACTGGTTTTAAAGGACAGAGAAGAGGCCAAAACCAAAGCTGATTTTTTTTTTAATCAGACCTCATAAATGTTCCCTGCCCAACATACCAGTTATATAGATAAAGGAAACAGAAATCACAAAAGTCTTAAGGAGGAAAAAAAAAAAAAAAAGTCCGTTCTCTGACCTGTACTCTAGCTCATAATTTTAAAGTCAAGAGAATGCTATCACCAGGCCTAACCCAAATCACCAGTACTAAGTCTAGTGTTAGCAAAAGTTTCCTTTCTTGGTCATCCTTCCTTAATATCAAGTCAAAGTTTACTATGAGAAACTGCGTTTATTGTAATCTCTTGTAATTGTAATTATTGTAATCAACTTGAAAGTTGACCTCTTTTTTTTATTTAAATTCAATTATCCAACATATAATACATCATTAGTTTTTGATATAACGTTCAGTGATTCCTTAGTTGCATGTAACACCTAGTGCTCATCATACCACATGCCCTCCTTCATGAAAAGCATAATCAGTTCATCTGAGCCTGCTCAAGGGGCTCACAAAGTGGAGTGTTACAGATAGTCCAGTCATTTTCTTTACTCCTGCCTGGTTCCAATGTATCCCTCATTTTCCTACCCAGCATTTAAAGAGGACTTTTGAAATCTCTGTTGTGTCACTTCCTACATAAAATCCTCAAGTTATTTCCCATCAAATTTAGAATAAAACCCAATTTCTTTTTTTATTATTATGTTATGTTAGTCACCATACAGTAAGTCATTAGTTTTTGATGTAGTGTTCCATGATTCATTGTTTATGCACCACACCCAGTGCTCATTGCAATCTGTGCCCTCCTTAATACCCATCACCAGGCTCACCCATCCCTCCACCCCTCTAAAACCCTGTTTGTTTCCCAGAATCCATAGTCTCTTATCGTACATCTCTCCCTCTGATTCCATCCCCCCTTCACTTTTCCCTTCCTTCTCCTAATGTCCTGTATGCTATTCCTTATGTTCCACATATAAGTGAAACCATATGATAATTGTCTTTCTCTGCTTGACTTATTTCACTTCAAATAATCCTCTCCAGTTCCATCCTTGTCAATGCAAATGGTGGGTATTCATCCCTTCTGATGGCTGAGTAATATTCTATTGTAGATATGGACCATATCTTCTTTATCCATTCATCTCTTTTTCTTTAAGATTTTATTTATTTATTTGACAGAGAGAGAGAGATCACAGGTAGGCAGAGAGGCAGGCAGGGGGTGGGGGAGCAGGCTCCCTGCTGAGCAGAGAGCCCGATGCGGGGCTCAATCCCAGGACCCTGAGATCATGACCTGAGCCGAAGGTAGAGGCTTAACCCACTGAGCCACCCAGGCGCCCCTATCCATTCATCTCTTAAAGGGACCAGCTCCTTCCATAGTTTGGCTATTATGGATATTGCTATGAATATTGGGGCACATTTGCCCCTTCTTAAACTCAACTTCTTACAGTAACCTCTAAGGCCTTACTGAAAATGTCTCTGCCCTCGTCACTTACCTCGTGCTGAATGGGGCTAGGCTCCCAGTGGAATGAAGGATTTTCATAATAGTAGTAATGGGGAGAGCAGTGGATGGATGTAACTTGGAGGTAAAGCAATGGAACTTGCTCACAGACTGAGTTTGGGGAATGAGGAGAAAGAGGAATTAAGCAGGTCTCACTGGAATTTTAGCTTGAGTTATAGAGGGGCAGTGAAGTTATCGCTGAAATAAGGAACAGGTTTGTTGGCAAGAAATCAAGAGGTCTGCTCTCATATTTTAGATATGGATTAAATCTAGGTGAGACATCCTAGTGGAGAATGTCAAGTAGAGTAGTTTATGGAAGTCCAGAGTTAAGTCAAATCTGGAGCACAAATTTGAGAGATAGTAACATACATTAAAAAAAAAAAAAAAGGCAGGAGAAGGAAGCAAGATGGTGGAGGAGTAGCAGACTGAAATATCATTGGGTCCCAGGAGTTCAGCTAGATAGTTATCAAACCATTCCAAGCACCTACAAACTGAACAGGAGATAGAAGAGAAGAAGTGCAGCAATTCTAGGAACAGAAAATGGATCACTTTCTGGAAGTTAGGACATGTGGAGAAATGAATCTGAAGCAATGAGAAGATAGACCATGGGGGGAGGTGTCAGCTCCCAGCAAGCGGTAGATCAGTGGAGCACAAAATCAGAACTTCTAGAAGTCTGCTCCACTGAGGATTATTGCTCCAGAGGCTAAGTGGATGTGAAGCCCTTGTGGGGAAAGTGTGGTCTCAGGACCTGCGGGGCCACAGAAAGATCAAGGGTGTCTGAAGGTGACAAAGCTTCCAGGTATTGAAGCAGGGAAGCCGGCTACAGAGAGGAGCCAAGGAGTGCGTTCTCAGCTCAGCATTACCTTAAACCACGATCTGACGCACAATCAGACCACTTCTCTTTGAGCAGGGACCCCACAAGTGGCAGATCCGAGGAGACCCCCCTCCTTCCTCCTCCAGGAGGAGTGGCGTGGGAGCACATGGCAGGAATCTGCTGGATTTGGAGACTCCAAATGGGGCAGTGCACCAGAGATAGAAGGCCTGGTGAACTCATAGTGCAGCCGGAGACCAGGGAGATGGGAAGGACTGACTGCTTGTCTCTGAGTGTTCATTGAGGAGTGGGGCCCCGATCTCTCAGCTCTTCCTGGCTGGAGATTGGGAGGTTGCCATGTTCATTCTTATTCTCCAAAGCTCTATAGAAAGCATTCAGAGAACAAAAGCTACTGAAAGCAAACATGAGCAGATTACTTAAACTGACCCCTGGCAAGCGTGGTGCCACCTCGGGCAAAGACATTTGAGAATCACTGCAACAGGCCCCTTCCCGGAAGATCAGTGAGAAGATCCAGCCAAGACCAAGTTCACCAATCAACAAGAACTATGGAACTCCAGAGCTGGGGAAAGCAGCACATAGAATTCATGGCATATGATTCTTAAGTCTTGCAAAGTTAAGGTTTGTTTTTTTTTTTTATTTTATTTTATTTTTTTCTTTTTCTATTTTTTTAAATTGTCCTCTTTCCTCTTTTAATGTTTTTAAACTATTTTATTTTAACAATGCCTTTGTAAAAATTTTTCTTAATTTTCATCATTATAGTCATATTTTATACCTTCATTTTTTGTATACATATAGGGTTTTTTTTTTTCTTTAAAATTTTGGGATACAAGTTCTTCTAATGGATCAAAATATACCCTAAATCTAGCACATGGCTTTGTTCTACTCTCAGCCAGATCACATTCTCTCCTCTTTTTATTTTCTTTTTCTAGCAAACTTATCTTATCAATTCCTCTTTTAGAATCTTTTTTTCATCTTTACACTCATATTCCATCCCTTCATCTTGTTTACACTTATTTTTGTGTGTGTGTGTGTATATATATATATATATATATATATATATATATATATATATATATATAAGTTTTTCTTTCTTTAAAATTTTGGGAGGTAGTTTCTTCTAAGAGAGCAGGGGCGCTTGGGTGGCTCAGCGGGTTAAAGCCTCTGCCTTCGGCTCAGGTCATGATCTCTTCTAAGAGAGCAGAATGCACCCCAAATCAAGTGGGTGTCTCTATTCTATTCACCAATCTAAAACCCCTCCCCCTTTCTTCTCCCTCAGTTTCAGGTCTCTTCTGATTTG